TAGTAAATGTTATATTTTTATCAATACAAAAGAAACTCTACGTCTAGTTGTCCCTTCATAAGCCTCTGTTTCTCAGATGTTTAACAAATTAAGTAAAGAAGCTGCTGCTACTGTAACTCTTGTTTGTTTGTTTGTTCCTTCATTTGTTTTAAAAGACAATTTGTTTTCTCAGAGATGTTTGCATGCTGTAGCATTTTATTGCTCATGGTCATGCATGCACACATCCATGGTAGGCCACTCTGAAGAGCTGTTGCTCCAAGTTTGTGTTTGAAGAGGTAAGGCACAAGAACAAAAAGACAGCTGTGAGCAGCAGACAAATGCAGAGCTACTGCTCGATCTGATGGTACAGTGGAGCAGCACAGGCTCAGGTGCAAGAGGCAGGACTGAAATGTTGCTGCCTTTCAGAGCCAGTGGGCTCAGCAGTAGCTCTGGATTTCTGCAGGAAGTTGAGTCACCAAATACAGGCATGCTGAGTGTGATTTCTCTAAGGTTGCACAGAAGCAAATCCACGTCTCCTGTGATAACAGTAACCTTTCTCCTGTTTTTTTATCTTCTGGGTGTGCAGATCTCACTGCAGGGACTAAGTGCTTTGAAAGTTTTGCAAGTGTGTAGTAGCTGGCAGGGAAATAGAGATACCAACCCTGCAAAATGTATCAGAGACAAGTGGAAGAAATGATACCACTTACACAACATTGCTGTAACCATTAGACTATTCTGATTCAAAAATATATTATTCTTTAGTTTGTGTCTATTTATAGTTTTAGCTGCAGAATATGTAAATTCTTGACTTTTATTTTCAAATATCCATATTCTTCAGTTTTAGAAAATGTCTTTGAAATATTTCCCTTCAATGAAAACTTATATATAAATATTCAATGAGTTCTGCTGACCAGAATAGATGTGCTCATTTATCCTTCAGGCAGACATTTTGGAGAGTCAGAAACAGTTATGCTTACATGGGGTTTGGTGTGGGAAGTACCTTTTAGTGTCAAGCTTTTCTGTTGCTGTGAGATCAGTATCATCTCCACACACGTGATGTTGAAGCAAAATATCATATATGAATCCTGTGATATGCACTTACTTATTTTTTCCTTCCATTTACCATGTTGAAGAGATCATCCCTGTTCATTTTAGGGTCATAGATAACCTTTAGAGGTCTTTTCCAAGAATTATTCTATGATTCTATGATTTCTCCTTTCGGTTCCCTCTCATGTTTCTCAACTTGGTTTCATGTCTTCCACAGCTTCTGGGTTTTCTTTTTTTGCTTTGCTCACAGGCTGTGTTTTCTATGCTTGTTTTAGCATCTCTATTCTGAGCAGACTGGCCAAGGCCTGTAAGGAAGTTAGTGCCAAGAATCCAAGACATAATATTATTTGATAAATGACTCAGCACAGCTGTAGTTAACAAAAACTGGAGATTTGGGAAGCCTGTTCATCTTGTTTTTATTGAACGATTAATGTATGGGAATATGAAAAGAACAGTTAATAGCATGTGTAATGCTAGAAAAAGACAGACTAAAAAGGGACCAAGTCAGATTTATCTCTAACCAAACCTGAAAAACAGCAGTGGATGGTAGATTTTTACAGAATACAGCATAAAATTAAATAAACCAGGTTACAGTAATTTCTGTATTTGGCTCCTATAGCTGCAATCATGGTTTAGTTCCAATATTTTTTTCCTGAATATCTCCATAAATACTGAGATCCTATATAAAATTTGTTTTAATCAGAATTAGTTCCATTACTAAGGTGATTTCTGACCTCTGTTCTATCTCAGTTCATACAGCACAACTTTTTCAAGCATACGAATACAGACTGGCAAAATTGCCTTCCAACACGGTCAGGTTTTGCATGTAGCTTGCCTGAGTATGAACTATAACAGGGCAAATATCTTCCATTTTATTGAAAAGATCTTACATATCTGTGATCAATTCAGCTTTTACAAGAGCTTATTAAATTAATATTAGCACAGGTAGCCTGAAATTGCTTAACTGTAATGAGCAATGAATATCAATTATGTGATTATTAATGAAAATGTAATCTAGCCTAAGCACAATTAATTTCTGTTGAAATCTGACCCCTCAAAATGTAAATTGACTTGGTTCTGTTTTAATGGAAATAACTTTTTTAATATTAATATTTTAACAAGCCATGTCAATTTGATATAACAGAGTGTCCAGTTGCAAAAGCTTCCTCTTTCATTTGCAGATGCATACATCTTGGAAAGTTAATATACCATATGTAATGAGACATCCCTCCACAGTGATTTAAAGCACAGAGAACTGTTTGTACCCAAAGGCCTCATCTTAAAAGATGTGTACACACTGATCCTGATACCCCAGGTACACTCTTTAAGTCAAAAGGCTTGATCCTTCAAGTTTCTAAAGAATTATGTCATCTGATGTCTTTATCAAGATCCCTTTAAAGGAGAGTAGCCCTTCCTCTAAGGTATTGCAAAGACCACTGCCAAGAGAGAAGACCAGGAGCAGAGGAGCATCAGAGTCAATGCCCATATTAGTGCTATAAATCCCCCTTCCAGACGTGATAAGGAATGGAGCTGCTCTTCCTGTTGCTTAGCCTGGTCTGTGTGCATGGTCCTCAAAAGCTCAAAATATGTGAAATAGGTGACAAGGAAAAGGTTTGTTCATCTGTCTCAACTGCCAGTGAATGAACAGCATTTCAGTAGGGCTCTTGTACCAGAATATCTGAGAAGACTTGGGACTATTTCTGAGATTAGAACTGAGTTTTAAAATGTGCTTGCCACACTGAGCTTAGTGGAAAACAAATATTTGCCCTGGAAAGTTTACTTTCCTATCAAGCCATTATGAAAGAAGCAAAGGAAATGACACATTACAGGAGTTACCAATCACTGCTCATCATTTATAGGTGGTATTCCAGTTCTAGCAGTTCAGCTGAATATGGAAAACCTGGTTCTAATCTCTAGAAAGGGGCTCGGCTCCACAGTCTGGATGAATGTCCTGGTCTCCTAGTTCTGAATTCTCGTTTATCTCTTCCAGCTCAGTGAGCAGTGGATAGAGCTCCTTCTCCAGAGGAAGGCTGAAGATGCTGCTCTGGCTCAGCAAACACAGTTCAATTTAGGACAGCCTAGGACAGTGGCCAGGTAGCAGTGCACTCCAGGCCTCCATAGCCCCAATGCCTTGTGCTAGCCACTGGACCACTGAAGTACTACTAGCTAGCTTTAAATCTACCATTTTCATCTCCCAACTTCAGGTGATTTGTTGCATGCTAATTGAATTTGAGGATTTTGATCAGCAGCCATAGCCAGCAGTTGAGGAATGGACAGGAATATAGTGGTATCTGTTTCAGAATGTTTATTCATTCTTGTGCTTGACTTTAACTGATCACTTCACTTTGAAAGGACCTTTAAAATAAATGCAGTGAATAAGCACCAGTATTAAGCTCCGTACTTGTTTGTTATGAAGACCGTTGTTTTAAATCAGAATTTCAATGATCAGACATGCAACGAAGTAGGATCATTGTAAATTTTAACCCAGCGTTCATTTATTGCCAGGTACAGCCATAAAATTTCCAGAGGTTATTAGATGTTTTTATTTGTAGGTTCTTAATTATTGATTTAAAAGCTGTTAGTCAGAAGACTTGGTAACATAAAGTCCTTGTTTGATTTTTTTGCAATGAGGAAAGCTGGTCAGGACTCTGAGTTTCTACACACTGATAATATGCATAATATTATGTGCAGCCTTTTAATAACACGGCAAAAGAATATGCAAATATACCAATTTCAATTACAGAGTTGAAATTTGTTTCAACTATTCTTGTGAGATAAGAGGAGAGAAACGATATATACTCATTTACATCAAAAGCCTATTGGCAGTCAGCTTTTAAGAATAATTCTGGTGCTTCTTTATCCTAAAGTGCAAGCTGGAATACCTATTTTCTCATAGAAGCAAGATATTCAAGAGAAAATTGTCATGAATAAAATCTCTCAAGAAATCCAACCCAGTTAAAATACTGTGTTTGGTTGTGTACAGTTAATGTTTTTGTCCCATTTGTAAACCTTGTATGTTGTACCACTTGTTTACCCCGATAGTTGTTAGTAATGTTAATTACTTGCCTTTTGTTGAAGTGTTTTGAGAGTTCTCTTATAAGATGTACCTCTACCCGCTTTTCCTTACTTCCCTGTGCCTATTTAACAATGCTGTTCCCTACACTCCTACCTTGCAAACTAAGGCGTGCCAGACACCAAAACAAGGAGCCAAGAAGGAAATAAAAGGGCAAAGAGACATTTCCTAGCAAGCTGTGATGGAATACCATCTTCCTGCATCACCTGAACCTGCTTAAGAGTGGTCACCATGGCCTAAAGAGGACAGGAAAAGAGTGACATCTTTGGACAACAAGCCAGAACAAGAGGCCTCCCGGCTACTCCTGTGAGGATGAAAGCCCCAGTTCTGCAGTGTGTGCTGCAAAGCTGAATTGTGCCTTATCCTAGGAGCTGCCAGTGTGGGAGAAGCAGTGCTGTGAGAGACCCCTCAGAACCCACTGCAAGGCAGAGTCCAAATAAAGGTATAAAACAGGAGTCCGTTTCGTGAAAAATTTATTTCACTATAGGTCTGTCTGAGATCAAGAAAGTCTTGCACGATGCAGATTCTGCAATGTTGCATTTTATTGGAACAAGAGCAAAGCAGTTTCCAGCTTGCCAATCATAAACACGCTAACTGTAGAGCATTAATATGGGTCACAGCTGATAGCCACACTAGATAGGGATTTCCTTGTATATCAAAATATTATCCTAAGTGTTATATATATGCATATAAATACGTTATATATGCTATAAATATATCTATTCTATGAAACTCATTCTAGACAAAAAAAATGCACTATAGAAGCATTAATATGCATCACAATAGATAGTGACACTACATATGTCCTCTATTGTAATTATTTAAACAAAATTACTTATTCAACTCTTTAGAATAATATTTTTGCATGATACAATAATTACATATTTCATATTTTTATATTATTTATATTAGTCTATTGTTTTCTTGTGTTGTATTTTACTATGATATATATGATACGTTATAAACATGAAAGTATAAAATATATTTACACAAAATACATATATCTAGCTATGAAATAAAGATCTAGATTCTTATATACACAAAATTTCAGGTCAGCTCCAACATGGCTGGTCCAAAGCTGACCTAAAGGTGTCCCTTCCGGAAACAAGGAGAGGCGCCGTCCGTTGACTGATCCCGGGCAAGCAGCGCTGACGTTTCCTCTTGGTCTTTTTTGGCCTGTTTCTTTTTCCTTTGTCTGACCCACATTCCCTCTTCTTTCACACTCCAATTTTTGACCCTTCTCAAAGGCTGGGAACAACTGCATGTTGCAGGAGGGATTTGGTGACTTTGGTGCTGCACATGAGGCATGTTCTCTCTTCACGTGCGCTCTTCGGAGTGGGGAACTTCAAGACGGGTTTTATGCAGATCTGTGTGTCTTTTTCCAGAAAATTAAAGGATTTAAGGAGGTAGAATAAGCCCTGCTGTGGTCCTCCACCTGCTGAGGCAGCAGGAGAGGCCGTGGGACTTTTGCCAGAGCCTTTGCACGCATCCTCTTCTCCTTAAAGGACCAAATTTGTAGGATGAGATGGCTCTTCGCTGCCAGCCGCGAGCAGCACAAGGCCAGCTCTGTGCTCATACCCATGACTCCTCCCATTCATTCATTCATTCATTCATTCAATGTTCATCGAGAACGATGCTCTCGAACCACTTTTGCAGAACCTGGAACTCATGCATGGCCTGGCTGTGCACGTCCGAGTCCTGCGCCAGGCAATGGAAGAGATTGTACCTCGTAGCCTCTTGAACGTCTGAGGGTAAATTGATGTCGTGAGGAATCCTCTGGTTACCCACCATGAAGTGGTTGAGGCGTTTTGCTCTCACACATAAAGACAGGCTATCTCTGATATCCAGCAGTCGGTCCAGGAAATGTCTCCTGCGCCACGATGACACGGGTATGGCATTGAGCAGGTGCATGAAAATGGTCTTCATGGTGTAGGTGGAAAAGCAGAAGCCCAGCAGAAGACGGGCGAAGAACTGCAGGCATTGGAGGTGCAAACTGTCGGGGGGGGCCTGCCTGGCAATGTGCTGGAAGAACTGGGCCTCTGCCACAGCATAAGTCTCAGGCCAGGTTGTGCTTGGGGTGTGGGCCTCTCTAGGCTGGCTGCTCACAAAGATGTCCGAGTCACCTCTCCGCACCCCGAACAACATCTCAATCCTGAAGCTCTCTTCTCCGTTGGTCACCTTGAATCGGCAGGAGCGTCTGGAGGGCAGCAGCATTAAATGCCAACTGTGTGACTGCGGCAAAGCTGGCCAGATTGCTCTCACCAGTTGGTAGAACCAGCGAGCAGTTTTCTGCACGTCGAGGTAGGAGCTGGTGCACAGGGTGTCCAGGAGGCTGGGATCCTGATTCCTCCTCAGCTCCTCCTTGGGGTGGTGCAGGAAGCACAGCATGTTCTCGCCCTGCTGCTCCCTCGTGCAGGTGCACTCCAGCTGCACGCGGACGCGGAACTTCCTCACCTGCCTCTGCCATGCGGTGTCCAGCTCCAGATGGAAGCTGTGGCCTCGGGGAGGAGTCATGGGTATGAGCATGCGGTACACAACATCTTGCTCACGGGGACTCCAACCTTCGAAGGCGCTGCCCACCCCGATGGCTCGTTGCAGGACTGGGTAGAAACTGGTTGACAAGACATGACCAAACCAAATGGTATAATTGTCCATCAGGACAGTTGTCCACTCACAGCCTCTCTGCAGGTCCTGTACAGGCCACTGGATGCGCTCCATCACAGTTTCCCCAATGATATCCTCAATATCATCCTCTTCTTCTTGGACTACATTTGCAACATCGTCATTGTTTTCCGCATTTGCAGCCTCATTGACAACTTCATTTCCATCATTATCTGCCTCATTTGCAGCAGCATTGCCCACTTCCTGTACATTGCCATCATCATTGTTGTCTTCCTCCCGATTCACATTGTCTTCTTCATTTCCAACAGCTTCTTCTCCATTTGCATCCCCATTTCTCGCTTCCTCTTCATTTGCACCATTATTTCCTTCATCATTCTCCTCCCTCCTCAGGCTCCTTTTCCACTCCATAAAGCATAAGACCAAGGCAAGGGCCAGGAGCACAGCAACATTTACGAGCTGCAAGTACTGTTCCTCTGCACTCTGCTCCAGGATGAGCTGCTCCACCTCCTGCTCCAGCAGAAGCCTCTCCCATTCCAGCTGCTTTGCACGCAGTTCCATCTGCAGACACGTTTCCTCATCCCAGTCATCACCCATGGGCTGCAGGTAATGGACTATGCTTTGCCAGAGCAAGAACCAGAAAACCCAGGGATCCATGTTCTGCAGGAGGATGGAAAGAAGGCCTTGAGTGGGGCTGTGAGGGAGGCAGCTAACAGTAGCAGGGACGGGAACACTCAGGGATCTGAGGGTGGGAAGGACAGGGCCCCAGACAGCTGGCTGGCAGCAAGGCCTGTCCCTTACCTGCTGGGGTCTTGAATTGCTGCCCCCACTGTGACATGTCCCCGTGATGTCACAGGTGTCCCAGCACATCACAACCCAGCCAGCCCCACCCTTTGTCCCCACTCTGGCTCAGCCGCTCTGAGTGGCCCTGGTGTGCTGCTTATGGCTGCCTTTGAGTGAATCTTCTTCAAAGAACTCCCACTGTTCTTTCTTTTGGATTTGTTTTCATCTGCCCTCCACTGGCAATCTCACAGACATCCATGTGTTGGAAGGCACCCTTGAGGATCATTGAGCCTAAGTTTTGACTCCTCACTGGTTGAGCTACACGTAAATCTCTGAGTCAGCGAGGTTGAACAGGTCCCTGAAGATCAAACTGTCCAACTGCAACCTTAACACTGCCTAGTGCACCAATCAGCCAGGTCCCCAGATGCCACATCCACATGACTTTTAAACCTTTCTGAGGGTGCTGACTCAACCATTTCTCTAGGCAGCAGCCTGTTCCCAAGCTAGATATCCTTTCTGTTGAAGGAATATTTCCTAGAGATACAATCTAAACCTCCTGTGGTGCAATGTGAGGTCGTTCTCCGCTGGTCATATTGTTAGTTCTCTGGGCTAACCCTCACATGACCCCCACTTAGCTACAACCTCCCTTCAGGAACCGTGTGCTTCGTGTCAGGTGCTTGGCCTGAGGTGAAGGCAGCTCCTCCAAGAGGAGAGAAAGGTGGTGCTTTTGCACTGCACTTCCCAAGATCCAGCGGGACAAAAGAGGGTGTCAGTGGGGAGAAGAGTTTCAGGTTGCCCGGAAGCGTTTCCACGTGACGAGAACCTTAGTCCCAAATACATCAGCCGAGGAAATCCGTCCCCTTCCAAGCAGAAGGAAAAATGAGAATTTTCCTTGTAGAAAATGGGAAGGTTTGGAGTGAAAGTCCGTGCTGGAATGTCCCCGGATGTCCGTGTGGATTTTGCTAACCTGCAAGGCCAGACTATGAGGAGGGGATCCCAAGAAATGCCCTCTTGCTCAGGGGCCTTCCATGGCACGGCAGCACAAGTGAGAGCCCTTCCTTGGCCTTTCGCTTCAGCAAGGCCCCAGTTTGGGCCAAGCCTGAATTCCCTGTGGTGGTGGTGGTGGTGGGGCAGCGGGACAGGCCTTGCTGCCAGCCAGCTGTCTGGGGCCCTGTCCTTCCCACCCTCAGATCCCTGAGTGTTCCTGTCCCTGCTACTGTTAGCTGCCTCCCTCACAGCCCCACTCAAGGCCTTCTTTCCGTCCTCCTGCAGAACATGGATCCCTGGGTTTTCTGGTTCTTGCTCTGGCAAAGCATAGTCCATTACCCGCAGCCCGTGGGTGATGACTGGGATGAGGAAACATGTCTGCAGATGGAACTGCGTGCAAAGCAGCTGGAATGGGAGAGGCTTCTGCTGGAGCAGGAGGTGGAGCAGCTCATCCTGGAGCAGAGTGCAGAGGAACAGTACTTGCAGCTCGTTTTTTTAGATGTCATGATGGTAGAATTTGATTAGGTACCTAGTCATGGAATCCATAATGTCATTGGTATTTATCATCCAACCACACAGCTGGGCATTCACTGTATGATACAAATGGCTCTGGCTGTGAGCTTTGTCTGGGGAAGGATCCTGAATAGATATTTCCACTGTAAATGTAAGAGAAAGAGGGGGGGAAAAAACCCAGTAGATTGCAATGCCTCTGTAGGTACTGTCAGTTTCATTCTGAAAAAAAAAAATCAGAGACAGATTTAAGGGGAAGCCATGAAGTTTATCAGATTCTGCCTAGGTTTATTGCTGAAGCTGCATAAAAATATTTAAAAGTATTGTAAGAGGCCTAGAGTAACGTACCTCTAATGCAGCTGTTCAAATCTCAGTTTATGAAGAATTAACACCTGTCAAAACTTGGGTGGGGGGGATTAATAGCAGATAGAAACATAAGATTTTTTCTTGACCTAGCTCTGACTGAAACCTTTAATTCCCATCCCATTAAACAGTAGAACAACAGGAGCATAGAGAACAGTGAGTTATCTGGACTTGATCCTGTAGTTAATATGACATGAGGAAGATGTTCAAATTAGTGCCTCAGCTTTCTGTATTCAGCCTGAGACAAAAACGATCATATAAGATAGTATTTGCTGAAGATCCTGACTGGCTGACAGTCACAGTGAATTATTTGATGAACTGGCTTCCTTCCTCATAGCAAGCAACTTTGAAGCCTTTAAAACTCAAGTATGCTCTGAACAATGAAAGAACACTGACACACATTGCTGTAACAGTTAAAATTACTATTATTTTGTGTGCCATCCCTACAAGTTACCATTTCCTTAGAAAAATACAGTGAGAACATTGGCTTTGCCAGTGCCTAACTAAGTGTCTTAGATCAACCTTAACACCAATGGCAATGGATCAAGCTGGCCCAGAAATTAAGCAATTGAAATCTGGGTCACTAGTTGACCACTGTGTCAGCAAAATACCATGAGTGGCCTGCTAGGAAAAATACTTCCATAAACTCATTCAAACAAATTATCCAGACCTCATGTCATTGCCTGGTTTTAATACTTATAATAGTGTAATTTTATATTTTATAATCTCTTCCAGGGTTTCCTAATGCTAAATGTTGGATTATCACATTCATGTTTCATCCTGTACAAAGCAGGAATTGTTCCCAGACTCCATCAAACAAAAAAGCATCTGGGACAACTCCATGATGAATAAAAACATGGGTTTTCTTTTCACTCTTCTACCTCCCCACATTGGCAGTGATCCTATGATTTCATAGAGGGATAGTTTCAAATACATACATTCTCTATATACAAACATCTTATTATATGCACATTTTAAATGAAAATTCCCTGTAGGCCTTACTTGAGAATTGAAAATGCATCAATTTGGGGTATATTTAAGCAATAATGATGGATGGAAAGGCTGTTTCTTTTCAGCTAAATGTGCCAATACTTACCTTATCTGGTAATTAACTGCTGGGAAGGGCCTCCCTGTCATTCATTGCTGCTTAAATAAGTATTAGATTGGAGGGAGGGGAGGAAGGTTTATCATTAATCACAAGAAAATTTAAGCTGCTGTTTTACTGTAATAGAACATGCAAGTATTAAGAAAAATAACCAGCAGTTACCTTTTAAGGTATTAGAATTATATGTGGACCTGTAAGTTGTCTTACATATGGCTCATTTATATAAAGCATTTAGACATCAGCCCAATAACTGGTAAGAAAATACGACTATAAAAAATTTTAACTTGCAGTACACTCTCTGTTGCACTTGATTGCTTTTAGTGTGCCTTCAAGTGAAAAAACAACAGCATTTTCTAGGGACAGCCATACGTCAACCTTCAGAGACTGTAAAGAGATAAAGTAATCAGCCTCAGGTGCAGGCAATAAAGAGCCTGTTCTGAGCAAGGATGATCACTTGGTATTTCTCTGTGGTGTTGTGCTTCATTGCAATATATAAGAAGTATAATGAGTAAGAAATGTACTAGTAATTACAAATTACTAAAAATAAATATACATTTCATATTTTTATATCTTTCTTAGATGTAAAGCAAAAACTAATTTTTATAGATGAATGCCACTTTTATAAATATGTCAAAATACAACAAATTTAACCTAACACATAAACAAAACATGGTGAAATATCTTATATTTCCACGTAGACAAAGGAAGCTCAATTCATAATTGTCTGGTGGTATTATAGTTCAAATTTGCTCAGAAACAGTTGCATGGATTCACTCTCATGTCTACAACCCATGCTCTCTTGCTGGGCTGTTAAGATGAAACTCAACGTTTTCCAGCCTTGGGCTCCTCTGTGGAGATGCTTCTGAGAGCACCGTGCCAAGACTCACGTATTGTCCTGTGCCCAAATTATTTTGGTCCTACTGTGAAACCAGTATGAACTGCTATCAACTGATCCCAAGTGAAGCACTCCTAAAATCTCTTCTACACTCAGTCAAGTGTCCCTTCACCTGAGATTAAAACATTGGCTCCATCTGTTGCTCTGTGTACATGTGCTTGTCTCAGGAAGGGATAAAACTGACCCCCATCTTTCCACAGGGCAGCACATACAGGAGATGTCTGCAATGCCAGGTGGATTTTGGGCTCTGCCTGGCACATATTAGAGATGCAGGTTTAAATACTTTCACATGAGGAGCTGACAGTCACACAAAGGATTTTTTGCATCTTAGCCAAAGGGTGGTTCATGTCCCTTCCCCTTTATAGAAGAAAATATTCAGTATAAAGAACCCTCACAGCAATACATTCCAGGATGAACAGTCAGCTAGTATAGTTTCCCAAGGATGTTATAAATATTACCAGTTTTAAATGCTGGCACCCATATGGACTGAAATCCTAACCTCATTGAAATGGGTGGGAGCTTTGCCAGTCACTACACAGTGATCAAGATTCCACATGCTGTATCTTAAAATGTAAAATACCACCATATGTGATGCATGAAAACTCCCACCAATTTGCTCTACCTTCGGCAGGTATTCTAAATAAAAAAAATTAAGATAATTTCTACACTATCTACTTTTCTGAAATTTCAGTTATATATAGTTATATGTATTGATGGCACTCAGATAAGAGTAGTTGCTTCTAGATATACTGCCAAATATATCTAGTTTGAATCCTAAGATTTCAGGACAAGAGATCTAATAAGGCTTATCAGAGACTATAATAGCACAGCAGGCTGCCCTGGACCAAGTAACAACTAATGAAGGCACAGGATTGATATTTTAGCCCAGACACAAAGCATAATTGATAATTTGATACAGATACATTTCCCTCTGCAGTGGAGTTGATGAGCTTGCCTACTTTGCAGCATTTGTATATTGCACATCACAGAGCTCCCTCCTGAGCAAATCAGCCCAGGTGTGTGCACACTGTGTAACACCCACAGCAAGACGGTGCCTGGCTAGAAGGAACGCCCTAGCACAGAAACAGGAGAACACTTCATAGAAAGCCCAAGTCACATAAAGAAGAAGATGGGATCAGCGACCCAG